TGTGTGGGCGCAGGTCGCCAGTTTGTTGTTCTGCTGTTCACGTGCATGCAACGTGTGAATAAGTCGAGTCTGATTGCACTGGTATCGGAGCAGGTACCCGCTGTTCCACGCGCGCCGTCGTGCACAGGGTGAGGCGCCATAGCTGAGGTGGCCGCTGGAGAAGATAGTCCGCCATAGCGGACCTTCGGTTAAAGAAGCCGCCGCGCACCTGCATCAAGAGGACCACGACGAAGAAGAAGGTTGAGTGAGAGAGAGAGAGAGAGAGAGAGATGAGCGATCCAAGATTGGTTGTCACTTACCTGTGAGGCGAGTTGCGTAGTCCGGTGGAGAAGGAAGACAGCGGCCATAGCCACGGAGCATCAACACAGGGTACCAAAGGAGAAGAAAGAGGCCAAGAAGAAGGCCCTACAGGAGGAGCAGGCGGCCAAGCTGAAGAAGATAGAGGAAGAGATGGCCAGAGAGAAGGAGAGAATAAAGAAAGAAGAAGAGGAGAAGCTGAAAGAGGTGGAAGAGGAAGAGGAGGAAGATGAAACGCCGCTGCAAAGGAAGAGGGGGCAGTACAGTGGCAGCAGAGATGATGAGATGGAAAAACGGATTTCAGAATGGGTCGCCAACTTATCCCTGGGTGAAGAAGAAGAGGTGGCGATGTATATCCCCAAGGATGATCAGGAAGCTGCTATGAGAGCCTGGGACGCAGAGGAAGATGTCATAAAGCGGCAGGCGATGGAAGATGAGAAGAGGATGGAGTGGAAACTGGCAGTGATGAGGGAGAAGAAGAGGAGAGTGGACGCGGCAGCAGATGCGACGGAAGAATTGGAGGAGGTAAAAAAGATAGAAGAGCAATTAGCCGCCCAGGGTGAACTCCCAAAGAAAATGGAGGTCATAGCCCGAAACGTCGCGCGCTTAGTGCGAATTCAGGCAGAGCAGTATGACTTCAGTAGGAGTCAGCATATAGCTGTGCGTTCGATACGATTGGGATTTCGGGACTTTGCTCGTGAGTTGGTGGGAGCTGTAGGAGCCGAGGTGGGCCACCGCCTCGACAAGACGGAGCGGTTTTGTGCTAGCACCATTGAAGGCGTCAAGGCGGCAGCTCCCAAGGAGGAGGAAGCACGTCCTCGCCGGGAGCCGGTCAAAGTCAAATTCCCTGATTCCTATAGTGGAAAACGGGAAGAAACTTTGACAATTGGGAGGCCAATGTCAAGACCTATGTGCATTTGCAACAGGTCTCCCGATCAGCATGTTGTAATTGCGATCCACGCCCTTAGAGATGAGGTCGCCAGCTTCGCAAGGTCCGTAGTTCGTGCTGCCAACTGCAATGATGATGCAGTAGCATACTCGTCGTTCACCCCCCTCGTTGACTTTCTGAAATTGCTGCGCGAGCGGTTTGCTGATGTCGCTCGTAGTGTTAGAGCCTCAGACAGGCTGCAGACGATCCACTCTCGTCAGTGGAAGAGTGCCAGGGCACTCAAGAGCACAATGGATGAATTAGTGGTTGTACCTGACCACGGGGTCACTGACACCTAGTTGGTTGCCCTCTTCTATCGGGCTATGCCCGAAGCCTTTCGAGGGTATTTCTTCGCGAAGAGCGAAGACCCTGCCACCACTTATGATTTCCTTAGTCGTGAAGTGGTAGCCTTCGAGGCAAAGTCCGTGTCAGTTTCCACTTTCTGGCACAAGGACTTGGATAAAGGCAAGAAGTGGAAAAGCCGCACTATCTCTGGGCAAGTGAAGACTAAGGATAGTCTAGTCCTAACTTTAGATGAGGGTAGTGTGGATGAGATCCCCTACGACCAGATTGAGTGGGGGTTAGAGGAGGAGGACAGGGAGAACTTACGCTGCTGTCGCGGCTGGAGGGAGGCCGCAAGGAGGAGGACGAGGCCAGGGCTAAGGGGGCTGGGCCTCAGGGAGCCGGTTTCAGGGCGATCAGGGGGTTAGCGGCAGAGGAGGAAATCGCCAAGCGGGAGGAAGGGGTCAAGGTCCCCCGCAAAACCGTCCTAGGAACAGGTCCCCCTATAGGGTAGGAGGATGGCACCCAGGGCTACAACAGGGAAGGCCTTGGGAAACTTTGGGTCTGGACCAGAGTCTATGGCAACAACGATTCGACTGGGGGCAGTGCATTTTCTGCGGTGACCCGGGCCATATCATCAAATACTGTCCAAAGTATCGAGAGACCCGAACGGCTGCTCAAGGGCCAAAAGGCAGCCGCCGGTAGGGGTAGCAACTGCCCCTACCATTAGGCCATGTGGGGAACATATCGCTAGCCGGCAGGAGACTCCCACACCACATGTGCCTATGGCAGAGGTTGCAGGCCGGTGTCTAGATAGCTGCCCAAAAACTGCTTGTGTTAGGGTCTCCCTAGACACCTCCCTCACAGGCGTGGCCGAAGAATTGAAGGAGAGGATGCCCACCTGGGCCAAGATGAAGAAGGAGAATAAAGGGCAACTTATATTGGTAGATACTGAGATTTTTAGAGGTAGAGTTGGCGCCTTAGTGGATAGTGGAGCCACTCGTAGTTACATTAGTAGGAAGGCGCTGCAAAAGTTAAAGCTGCAGTTAAAAGTCCAAAAGTTAGCAGACCCTGTAGTCAGTATCCTTGCGGATAATCGCACGATGCAAGTAGAAGACTACGTAGAGGGAGTCCAGGCGTATTTCCGCCTAGAGAAGGATGGGAAAGTAGAGAAAGTTCTCCATTCCCTGACTCTCCTCGTAGAGGATAGCCTCCCATTCGATATAGTCCTGGGTATGGACTGGGGRGAGGCAGCCGGGGCCACACTCCACTTGAGGGAGCATGAGTGTAGGCTCCCTAGCCCATCAGGCGATGTTAAGACTGCGCGTCTGTACCATGTGTCAGGAGTAGATAACTCCTTGGCACGTTGCTGCCTTAGTGCTCCTGCATTTGCACGACTAGTGAAAAAGGAGCAGTTAGAAGAACAGGTTTTTGTGGCCTATGTTAGGGCAGTCACTGAGCCTAAGGAAGAAAAGCCCATAGACCCTGCTATTGCCAAATTGCTGGAAGAGTTTAAGGACTTAGCTGAGCCGCCGACAGGAACAGTGTCGCGGCCCATCCAGCACCGTATTGAGATAGAGTCTGGCAGTAGAACTCCTAAAGGCGTTGTGTACAGAATGTCCCCACGGGAGTTGGAGGAGCTTCGCAAGCAATTGGACGAGCTCCTTGAAAAGGGTTGGATTAGGCCCAGTTCTTCTCCGTTTGGAGCACCTGTTCTGTTTGTCACCAAGAAGGAGGGAGAGCTAAGGATGTGTTTAGACTACAGGGGTATGAATGCTATTACAGTGAAGAATGTTGAGCCACTGCCGAGGATAGACGATCTCTTAGATGGAGTGCAGGGGGCCAAGTATTTCTCTAAGATAGATTTGAAGTCCGGATACCATCAGATAGAGGTTCATCCTGATGACCAGTATAAGACAGCGTTCCGCACTAGATATGGGCACTATGAGTTCATAGTGATGCCCTTTGGACTAACCAATGCTCCAACAACTTTTCAGCGGTGTTTGAATGACTTGTTTAGGCCGTGGTTAGACAGATTTGTTATAGTTTACTTAGATGACATTCTAGTGTTTAGTAAGACCCTCGACGAGCATCAGGGTCATCTCAAGCAGGTCTTGGAGAAGCTGAGGGAAGCCAACTTCAAGATCAATGCAAAGAAGTGCGATTGGGCGAAGACCCAAGTCCTATATCTAGGCCACGTCTTAGACGGAGACAGCGTTAAGCCAGAGAGGATTGTAAGATCGCAGCGATTAGAGACTGGCCGACACCGCGTACGTTGACAGAATTGCGGTCGTTCTTAGGCCTAGCAAACTACTATAGGAAGTTCGTGAGGAACTTCTCCACCATCGCTGCGCCTCTCCGCAAATTGCTCAGGAAGGAGACCATCTGGAAGTGGGATAAGGACTGCACGTCTGCTATGAAGAAGTTGAAACAGGCGTTGATAGAATATCCAGTCCTTAAGGTAGCCGATCCGTCCTTGCCCTTTGTCGTCACTACGGACGCTAGTCAGTACGGCATAGGTGCGGTTTTGCAGCAAGACGATGGCCATGGCTATAGACCCGTAGAGTTCATGTCCGCCAGAATGCCTTCAGAGAAGGTCGCGACATCTACCTATGAGAGGGAACTCTACACTCTCAGGCAAGCGTTAGAACACTGGAAGCATTACCTGCTTGGGAGGCACTTCAAAGTCTACTCAGACCATAAGACGTTGAGATGGTTAAAGACGCAGGCCAAAATGACACCTAAGCTTACTAGGTGGGCCGCAGAAATAGATCAGTATGACTTTGAGCTCAAGCCAGTCAAGGGAAAGTATAACGTAGTTGCGGATGCTCTGAGTAGGAGAGCTGATTACTTTGGGGCAATAGTACATTACCTAGACAGAGGGAAGGACCTACAGCAGAAGATTAGGGAAGCCTATGCCCAGGACCCTATCTATAATGACCTCCTCAAGAGGGTCAAGGAGGCCCCAGAGACTGAGCCGAACTACTGCACTACTGAAGGGTTGCTCTTTGACCGCCTGTGCATTCCCAGTACTGAAGAGATCCGTAGTCTGATTTTGGGAGAATGCCACGACACAGAGGGTCATTTTGGTTGGCAAAAGACTTTAGCCAATCTGATGCGCGCATATACCTGGCCAGGGATGAAGAATGACTGCATAGTGTATGTTCGCAGTTGTAAAGTCTGCCAGCGTAACAAGACTTTTACGCGTGCCCCGTTAGGTCTTCTCAGACCCTTGCCCATTCCGGATCAGCCGCGAGACTCAGTGTCCATAGACTTCATGGACACTCAAGTCAAGAGTAGGCATGGCAAGAGCCAAGTCATGGTCATAGTTGACCGTTTCAGTAAGTACACAGTTTTTGTTCCTTTGCCTTCAGAGGCACGTACTGATTTAGTGATACAGAAGTTTTTTGACTGTTGGGTTAGTGAGAATGGAATCCCACTGTCAATAGTTAGCGATAGGGATAGCCGCTTTACCAGCCAGAACTGGCAAGAACTCATGGGAGTATGTGGATCTAAGTTGTTGATGTCGTCCGACCGCCATCCTGAGACTAACGGTCAGACAGAGCAAATGAACAAGATCCTACAGCAAGTTCTGCGCATGTACATTAGACCAGATCAGATTAACTGGGATGAGATGTTGCCGAAGGTAGCTAGTGCGTACAATAACAATCTGCATCTGTCCACGTGCCGCACTCCCAACGAACTGCACAAGTCCTTTAGACCGCGTAGACCGTTTGAGGGACTCAACCGGGATCAGATTCATAGGTTACCGCCCGGAACCAGGGAGTTTGCGATTCAACACGAGAAGGAGATAGCAACTGTTGTTGAGAATCTTAGGAAGGCCCAGCACCGCATGATCGAACAGGCGAACAAGCATCGTCGCCCTTCACAGTTCCAAGTAGGCGACTTGGTCTGGGTCCAGTCTAAAGAGTTTGCGCCTGAAGAGAACATTGCCTACGTATAGAGGACCGTGGCCGGTTCTGGAAGTCAAGGGCGGCGAAGACGGACCGTCCTATACCATAGAACTCCCATCACACCTCCACACTTACCCAGTTTTCCATGCATCGAAGTTGTTACCTTGTCAAACAAGTGATCAGTTTCCATCCCGTAGGTCGATGATTCCGCCCGATATGGATGGAAGGTATGACATCGATGGCATAGTGGCTGAAGATGTATTCAGAACTGGAGGTAGAGGTCGTCCACAAAAACAGTACAAGGTTCATTTTAGTTATCAAGAACCGGAATACGACCGCTGGTTTACGAGATCTGAACTTCTAGAGACAGCTCCCGATAGAGTCCGGGCCTACGAAAGACAACAGAGAGGTAAAGGTCCTGCCGTGGACTGAAATTTTCTCGGAGAACCTCAAATTTAGGCCGGCGGGAGTGAAACGGTATTCACCAGTTCGCAGTAGCTGATGCAGATCCCAGGGCTCGATCCCTAGTTCCCCATCTTACCTGTGTACAGTACCGGTGTCAACC